GCGCAGGCTCTGCGTGCCGCTCGCGCCTCCTCCCACGAGCGCCGCCCAGCTCGCCGCTTGGTATCGCCCCCTGCTGGCGGACAAGTATGAGGAACTTTCTTAAGAGTTCATAACTTTCTTGGAGATTAGTGTTAGCTTCGTTATTTTTACCCAAAAGTTGCCTGTCTCGAGGTGGTTGAAGGGAAAGGACAATTAATTGAAAGAAATCACCACAGAAAGCGAGGGAGAGAAGTGAGCGCCTGCGATGCGCCCGGCACTTGAGGAGCATCTCACCTGGTCTCCCTCCAACACGTTGCACTGGGCGTTCAAGAGTCCGTCTCCCTCGCTGAGGCAAAGGTCCGAGGCCACAGGCGGCAGGCGCAGAGCCGGCGTGAGCCGGGTGAGTCTAACCCCAGAGCCTCAGGTTGACGCGAGTTCGGTGACGTCGCCTTTGAGGACAGCGTTTACTGACCCATCCTTGAGGTAAAATTATGTGTCCCAAACACAAGGTTGCTCAGAATTCCTCAGCAGCTGAGCGCGGAGCTGTGCTCAGCCCTCTCACGTTCCTGAACCAGAAACCACCCAGGACCTCATGATTGGGGAGCTCTTAGCCGCACAGACACCGCACAGCCGCACATGACGCCGCAGCGGTGGGCAGGGGCCGTGCGCATTTTCCGTGTCCGCTGCAGGCCGTGCCCTGGGGCCCACCCTACTTCTCCTCCCTTCTGTTTTACTTGGGCCCAACTCCCCAAGCCCCTTCTCCCTCATCTAGTCTACGTTACGGCTCACTGTGGCCAGGTTCATTTTCCTGATGTAACACCGCTCAACAATGTTCATGGCTCCCACTGGCCTACAAATAAAATGTAAACGCCTTGGGCTTGCTCATCAGTGCCTTCAGTAATCTGCCCCAATTGCCTCTTCAACTTTAATTTCCCACATCCCAGACACAAATCTTCCTTTCCAGTTTTTCCGACTGGATCCATGGTGAGAGACTCCGTAACTATCCCTTTGCTCATCCTGAAAAACTCTCCTGGAGCTTTCTGTCCAGCTTCCCCCCCCCCCCCCCCGTCTCAGTTCCATCACTTTCCGAGCCCCAGCCCCAGCCTTTTCTCCAGCCCATGTTACTTCCTC